TATTTGTATTGTAATATATAAACATATATGTAAAATAAATGCCTCAATGAGTATAAAATTCTCAAAAGAATATTTTTGAATTGTTTTTCAATATATTATTATAGAATATTCTAGGAATACGATAATACGTCATAAGGAATACGCATTGAAATTGAGTATACGAAAAAGTTTGGCTTTTGATTTGAGTTTCAATGAATGCAAGCTGAAGCGGGACCCATTTATGGAACTTTTTCACTTACAAAATTTTTTTAGAATCCTTAAGTGGAAAAGCTCATTAAACTTCAACTAAATTATGTTTTTTAAAATAAATATTAATGAAGGAACAAGTCAAAATATTTATCTAGTTAGAGATATTGAGCGCGGCTCACACATGACTTGAGTGGCGCTAGAGATGAAAAGAGCGAAGAAAGTGTGTGAAATTTGAAACTATAGGATTAAGATATAAGGTGTGTTTAGGAAAATTCTTCAACATGCTGCAACTTTTCTTCACGCATTAAATTTTCACATAAGTGAGCTTTTCTCATGTATAGAGCTTTTTGAATAAGGAAGCATAAATTGCTCTTAAATGTGAGTGTCTTCTTATTAATGGAGCTTTTCTTTTCATAGGGTTTGCATTTATAGCGAATCAACTGTAGCATTTTTATTGAGCATTAAGGAGGTAGGTAAAATTTTCTTTTCAAAAGCAAATAATTTATTTAATTGAAAGAAATTTGAATTAAATGTTGAAGTCTTTTTTTACGTCAAAGTTTTTTTCAATAATTTTCATCTGCCAAAATTTTAATTATTACTAGGTACTAGTGATTTGAACCACTATATCCATTTTCCCACCTTCGCAAAAATTTAGCTCACATTTAAAATGTACACAAACGGCTCATTGAGTGTCCACAACATTTCAATAATATTTTGGTTTGAGTCTTAGACAAGTAGATTTTTTTGTAGTAGTAGCATGAAAATCGTTTGCTGTAATTTACAGAGTTGGGCGATCCAAGAATGTTTAGGATCGCCGATTCATTTTCACCTTCCGCGATCCAAAATTTCAAAAGTGATTTTCCTCGATATTTCGCTCTAATTTGGATCGACGATCTAATATTAACAAAATATTTTCAGTGCTTGAAACTACAAAATTTTAATTCATGTTGAGGAGTAAAAAATTTACAAATTTGGAGCTGTTGAATAGGTAGGTAGGTAATTATTTTTTAGTAAGGGGAAAAAATTGAAAATTTACATGGCGGAAATAGATCGGCGATCTAATTTTTTCCATGAATTGACCATCCGATCCACGATCCATCACTTTAAATTTTGGATCAACGATCCGATCTATTTTTTCAAATTTTTTCATCCAACTCTGGCTGTAAACAATCGTAGAAGAAAATCGAAAAATCTATTACATTTTTTTCTAAAGTAGTAGCATTTTAGAAATTTTCTTCATGAACAAAAAATTAGATATTTTCAATTATCTTAATAAACGCATGTTATCATCGCATGTTACAAAATAAAATTTTATCATAGGCAAATCTTTTATTAAAACAGTTGAAAATTGTATTATAAAAATTCGAAAAACATCATTATAGCAGAGTACAATATAGCAGTAGCATAGTATTGCAGAACCTCTGGCCTTAGGTAGTTTTTAATAATCGGTTAGACCGGTCGAAATTCCCGTTTTAGGCGAAATGGATAGTTCAGAAGGAGATCAGAGTAGTATGTGTTTTTAATTATTTTATAAACTTCAAACCAATTGGAATGCATAATTATTCACGAGTTTTTACACCAAAGATGAAATATAATAAAGTTGGGACAGATCATTGAAGATTTTCTTTAAAATTACAAGTGGCAATTTTTTTTGCATTAGTGGTAGTTTCGTGTATGATCTTAATTATTTCCATATGTAGATCGTAGTGTTAGTGAAAATTCGCCATCTTGGATTTTTTTCGCCCGATTGGAAAAAAGGATTGAAATATTTTGTACTAACGTTTCTTGAAAATTTTAACCATTTTGACTGGCATAAGGAAGGTGACAATGGATAGTTTTGATGGTGGGCAGTGTCTAGATACACATTAAGCTTGCTATTAATGCATAAGTTTGAAGTTAATAGTAAAAAATTAAATGATATAATGGAATGATACGTCTAAATTTGAGGAAACATAAGTTCTTATTCCTACGATAGCAAGTTGAAGAACTTAGAAAGAGTGAAGTGCATATTTCTAAAGCATAAGAAGTATCTTTATAAATGAATATTCTCACTTTCAACGAAAGGATTATAAAGTTATCTATAAAATTATTTCTAAAATTTCATAAATGTTTTATATAAATTCGTATATCTACCTTTCTCTGTTCTACTTCAATACATATAAAGTTACGCACACAATTACGCATAAAAAATCCATCGATTTCAATATGGAAAAGTGGAAAACTTATCAAAGTGCTTCGACCTCGTAGCGGATGAGGAATGAGACTTAAACAAGAAAATCAATAAATTTTTAATCTTGTACATTACAAAACAAAAATGTAACAAATTTTCCCTACACCAAACTTAAAGCACTTTATGTGTTCTAAAGAGTAAAAGAAATGAAGCTTTCAGTCCTTTCATTTTAATAAAAATATGTGGAATTAATATCCTCTCATTGATACTGGATATAAGAAATTCGTTCATGAATCTTAAAGTATAAAATACGAGTCAATTACTTATTTCCCATGAATTCTAAATTTTTAATATTTAAAATGGCAATGCCATATATGAAGGTTGAAAGAAATTAAGTTTCACTGTCTTTTTTTTTTCTTCCTCCTCAATGCTGCAGAGGACTACCAAGGTGACGACATGGGTGGTGGTGATTTCGACTCAGGTGAGAAAATAAAAATTGGTTTAAAAATTGGTTTCCTAAAATTGTTTCACAGCAGGTCAGCCCAGTAATCAGACAGAGCAAGAACTCGCCTCTAAATGTTTGCAAATCCAGTCCAAGCGATTTTATTTAGATGTGAAACAAAATCGTAGAGGACGTTTCATCAAAGTCGCTGAGGTAATGGAATAATAAATTTATTCTTCAATACTTGTATCAATACCATTTTATTATTTTTATTTTAGATTGGTGCTGATGGTCGTCGTTCTCAAATTTTTCTAGCTCTTTCAACAGCAGCCGATTTTCGCGGTCATTTGTCAACATTCAGTGATTACTATTCATCATTAGGTAACACAAAAAAAATTGCAAAAACCAAACATTTCTCAATATATAATTTTTTTTGAGGCAATCGATTAGAATATTAACAGCTTTTTAATTGCATAAATCCAATCATGACGTGATATATTTTTATTTCAATTTATTAAAAAATAACTTGCAGTCAAAAAGGCACGTGGCACTAGATGTCACGACTTTGAGTCCCACGTCATTCCTTTAATTCAGTTTATTTGAATTAACTTTTTTTTCGTTATTGAGGCCTTGTCTTCTTCAGCTCAATAAAACTTCAAATAACATTATGGAATACACCTCACTATGTCTTTCCTCCAACTAAAGATTTGAAAAAACAAACTCAACACTACCAAATTGAATTTTTTTAATTACATATGCTTTTAATTTTTTTTTACAAAAATGCTTATAATGAAAAACAAAAATTTTTAGGACCACCAAATCCTGAAAACGTTCCAGAAGATGGGAAACTTAAATCGGAATGTATAGTGAAGGATAACAGACGATACTATTTAGATTTGAAGGAAAACGCTAGGGGCCGCTTTTTAAGAGTATTTCGCTAAATATTCGATTTAAGCTATTTAAAACTTTATTTCTATTTTTTTGACACTGTTTTAGGTGTCCCAGACCATAACCCGTGGCGGTCCACGCTCACAAATCGCCATTCCAGCCCAGGGCTTAGTCGAGTTTAGAGATGCTTTAACAGATCTTTTGGATGAATTTGGAGAGACAGATGGCGGGTAAAGAAATATTTTGATTTTGGTACAAAAGTTGAACAGATTTAAAGAAATTATGATTAAAGTTTTAAGGGAGAACTTCCTGAGGGCCGCCACTTGAGGGTCGATAACAAAAATTTTTATTTTGACATTGGCCAAAATAATCGGGGCATTTATATGAGAATGAGTGAGGTATAAAGAAACTCAAAATCTTTTTCTTATGACTATGATTTTCACTATGATATTTATTTCAGGTTAAAAGTAACTTCCGCACTGCAATAACTGTTCCAGAAAAGTGTTGGACGCGTTTTCGTGACATACTAACTGATTACTGTGAAAAAATGTCAGAAACAGCAACAACCACTGCCGATAATAATACACAAGCCGTGCAATCATCGGCACCGAATTCTGCTAGCGGTTCACAAAAATAAAAAATTTGCGTTAATTTGACCTACATAAATTAGAAGCAGAAACATCAAATTACATCTAAAGACCTTATTCTTCTATATTATCAGTTGTCATTAATTTCTATCGATGAAACTGCTCACACAATGCGATTGAAGTATTTAATGGTAAGAACTTATTGGAAATGACCAAAAGTTATAATTGTTGGAGGAAATTTTTCTCGCTTACATTATAAAGATGTTTCGATTGCATGAAAAACACCTAATTATAATTGTGTCGGGGTTTTGTTCTTCAAATGAATTATTTTTTTTTATATTTGTTCTTTGGCTTATTAATTCGACTTTAGTCCACTGAAAATTGAAGAAATTAGAAGGCATGGCCTTAAATTTAAGTTCAGAAATGTTTTCCATCTACAAATTTTATTTTAATCGAACCCATTTACTAGAAACTTTAAAAAATCTACCTTAAAGTAGTTAATTCAACACAGAAAAAAAAAACAATTCAAAGATTAAAAAAATATTGTTCAAATTTTAGCCTCTCAAACTACAAAATGAAAAAAGTAAAGAGTAAAATTAAATAAAAAAACATTCAGAAATTCAAGTGCGCATGGGAAAATTAAATTTATTAATAAATGTATACATCAGAGTACACAAAAAAGTTTTATGATGAAAGAAAAACTATGTGTTCTATTATCCATGAACGATTTTTCTTAGATTAAAATTTGTAGGAACTAAACGAAAGGAAAACAAATGAATTTTTTCTAATAAGAATTCTTTCAATATGTTTTTGTTGAAGAAATAAATTCAGTAATTTATCATTCAACAGCTCTCACCATGATTTTGATGACTTTATTATTAGGCTCTTTTCTGTCCCTTGCACGATTTTCGTCTCCGTGAAAACAAAAAGGATATATTTATACTTAACAAACATAAAAAATTGAATTTAAAAATAGGGGAGTGTGTGGTACCTTTCTGATTCGGTGGATATATGACACAAAAAATAACAATTATGCAACTTTCGAAAAATAATAATCATGAAATGATTAAAAACTTTGTTTGTAACAAAATGAAAATCTATAAATTGAAAAAAAAGTTTAAATTATGTGATATGATGTGGCGCATGGCGCCTGCCGAGAAAATGAATTAAAAGAAATTTTGCATATAAAAGCAAAACTTAGTTATTTTTGAGTTTTAAAAGCTACTATTTATTCATTGCAAATTAAGATAAACAGAAAACCTGCTGTAAAAATATTCTTTGCAATTCTTTCAGTTTTTATTTCTAAACATGGACAGTTATTTATGAAAGTAATCCTATGATGATCGAGTAGCCAAGATAATGAATTGATTTTAGTAATAAAAATTGCTGATTAAATGAAAAACCGTTTATCACGGTACCGCCCGAAAAGTTATAATGATATGTTTAATCATTAAAGTTAAATTAATATAATCAATTTTTTTAATAAGGTCAACTAAAAAAAATAAATACTTGTTTTTGTTGAAAGATATTAAATTATATTTTCAATGTGAGTTGTAGAAATGAAATAACAAATATATTTATCATGTTCCTTCTGTTATTTGGAATGTTTATGTTCACTTTGGATCTAAAAAATTTGTTTCAATCTCTAATTTTTATTGAAATTTTTTAAAATGCATCACATGTATAATTTGACTAAAATAAAACAAAACAGAAAACTATAGAAAAGGCAAGAATAAGATTATATAAATGAAAACTCTAAATCAAAGAGATAACATACATTCAAGAAATATGCGTACAAGAAGGAAATATCTACAAAAAAAGAAAAAAAAATGTAAAAGTGGAGTTTATCATTCTCGTGAAAATGTTTTATTAAAAATCTAGAAATATCTAATTGGCATTTAGGGTGTGGAAAAAGTAATGATTTACACCGAGTTTAAGATGAACATGGAAATGATTATTGATTTAAGTTGAACGGGCGAAAAACTTTCTCGTCCCGATTATATGTTTTACTATGTTACATGCATTTCTTGTTATACTCACTGTTCTATCTAACTATTAATTGTTGTTCTTGCAAAACTGTGTATGAGAAGAGTGTATTTATTTTTTCCTCAGAATATATTGATCATTTAATAATAGGAAATACGAAAAAGTAAAAAATGAAATGTTTCCTCAACACCAGTTTATTAAAAAAAAATGACATTTTATAAAAGGAATATTATTTTAATGGCATCAAAAAAAGTTCTGGACCCGTAAGCTTTTCGCCCTCTGAATTTTTTTCTTCTTTCTATGCTTGGTGTAAATTTCTTGGGTTATCATCGTTCAAAGGGACGATTTCTTAGAAATCTGCAAATTAAAACAAAATCTATAAATACATGTTGAGGTAATTATATAGATTTTATTGATGAAAAATGCTAAAAACTTAAATAAACCCATCCCATGAAATGGTGATGAAATAAATAAAAAAATAAGAAAAAAAATTGAAACTTGATAGTTAGAAGTTTACTTTGAACTACATAATTAATGGTTACAGATATCAATTTTTCAGTGTAATACATAATCTTCGATCAACATTCAAATTTACAAACACCCTTTTAATCAATTTATCAATGGAGATAGAGATTTTAAGGTAAGTAGCGATGATTTGTCTGAAAAAAGTTTTTTATAATTGTTAAAATCCAAATTTGATGGTTTTGATTTTGCTAGAATTCATTTATTCTCCAAAATTTATGTTGTCAAACATAATTAGGCATATAAAAAATGATTTTCATTGCAATTTAATATTTAATAAAATTGTATCTTTCGGAAATAACATAAGAAATTTATCATATCAAAACTGTTGTCATAAAATTACATTGTGATGTATTCGCGCTTTATTATTTAAATACTTGTTGACAATATGTAAAACCATGTTTAAAGGAATCAAACTCTAGGACCAGCCATAGTGTATAATAAATTATTTCGCTTCAATAATATAATATCTAAGATTATATAGCGGCAAAAAATTGGATTTTTTTTAAAAACAGTAAAGTTTGGATCTTCATATGGCAATCATATAAAATATCTGAAACATAAATTCTTTTCAATGCGCAAATGCAAAGAGAAAATTTTTATAATCGTGTTGAACAACAAAATCATATGGTTAGATAAGGAGAGTTGATATTTGTTCTAACCATAACTTCTATTTTCATTTCATTTTGTCAATTTATCAAATAATTCATGATTTAAATCATTGATGTGTTATCCAAAAGTATAACCAGTAAAAAGTTCAACAATCGGCTTCTCATTTTATTGCTATTTTGAGCACAACATTAATTCAAAGGGAAACATGTAAAAGTTTCCTTTCGAAGTTTAAATTCTGTTCAATAGAGGGCTTTTCATTTGTCAAATGTGTTAGTGTGAAAAATTCTACGAAAATGAGAGAACATCAAAACGCTATGTAGATAACTAAAAAGCTTTTTCATTTTAAAATATAAAGAAAAGAATATCTCAAGTGAATATTTCAATTGGATACATTTTAGATCATAAAATATAGAGTTTGAAATTAATAACCAAATGTATTTAGTTAGAAAAATTAAAGCGCAGTTCTAGATAAAAAAGTTAATCACGAAAAAAAATCAGTGAAAAAGTGGAATTATCTACTATCAATCATAAAAGCTATATAGAAGTAGTAATTCATATTTCTTTCGTTATATTTAGCAGATTTACTGCAAAAAATTGCTTTTGTTTCTCAACCATCAAAAAATTTTATCAAAAAATCTTACAAACCTCATTTAGTGACACTTTATTAGTTACCTTGTTAGCTTAAAATATTGCAAAAATATTATATAAACATATTAAAAACGTAATCAAATAAAACATACGTTTAAATAGTTAGTATCATCAGCTACTTTCGATGTGAAAATTCCGAAATAGTATGTCACTATTGAGCGTTGCAGGTGACTAGAAAAAAAATAATTTTTTGGGCAAAGTTAATCAAATGATTCTAATTTGCTTTTCTTTCCTTCTCACTATATCGCTCTAAGTTAAACGTGCTAAGTTTATTGGGGATCAGGCAGCTCATTTGAATACTTATGTTATATTAAAACTTCAAAACGTTAAAACGTCCACAGCACCTATCAAGGGAGCAGAACCTGAATGGAACCAAGATTTTTTATTGTAGGTTTTACAATTATTTTTCAGTTCTTATTGATAAAATTGAACTTTAAATTAAAGTGAAACAAGCTCTGTTAACACTGCATTGTTAGTTGAAGTTTGGTCTAAAAATATTCTTCTCGATCGTGCTATTGGATATCAACTTATCCCATTAGGAACATTACCTTACGTTCAATATGAATATCCTACGGAAAATGAACAGTGGTATAATATTGACGCTGAACAAATTATCATAAATAATGAAGTTCAAGGTACAAAAGAACCTACTGGTCACTTAATTCTTTTGGATTTACATTTTGAATTGCCTTTCGGTAAGAAAATTTTCATTTTCATCTATCAGAAATATTTACTCAAATAATTTTTCTCTGCTAAAGATGTTGATACCCAAAATAACGATCAACTAACTAATAAAATAAACTACAACAATATAGATTATAACACCGAACAGTACATTGAAAACTACAAAAGTTATGGAGACTATACATCAACAGACTACAATTGTACAAATGCTTCGCTACATGGAACCCAATATGATCAATTGGAAACACCTTATTCGTCGTTGGAAAATTCTAGACAGAACTCATATGAAAGAGACGAACGTCAGTTGTATGATATCAATAATCTTTACAATAATCAAAATCAAGGATATCCTTTGACTTATCAAAATGATTTGGCAACGACAGCGGAATATGAGGAAGAAGATCTTTATTATAACTCACGGCCAATGAAGTAAACATATTTTCAAAACATAGTTCGGCATCATTATATCGTTTGAATTTCAAACGTATTTTCTTGTTTCTTTCTCAGCAATCGTATATTGGATCAAAAAAGTGTTGAAAACTTTAATGAATCATCTTTAGATTGTCAAGACTCATTCTTTGTAGATGATTCATCCAAGGATATTTTAGATAACTGCAGTGATCAAAATTACAGCTGCCATTTGAATGATGGATTTTATGATGATTATAGTTATAATCAAAAATGGCAGAACGGCGATTCTAATGTTTACGGTATGTTAACAGGAAGTAAAAAGAATCTTCCTCAGCCACCTTCAACATATATACAAGAAAAAATATGCTACAGTCAAAGTGTTAATGATGAACTTACTCAAAGGCAAGAAATTTATTTTTCTATAATTCTTTTAATATTTCACTGTTCATATGATTCTAGTCGGGGCGCCAGTCTTCCTGTGACACCTATTTCAAATCAACGTTACAATCGTCAGCTACCTAATCAAATACCAAAAAATGTGTCACATTCTCAAAATTTCCAAACTGATGGTCTTCCAAAAACAGAACCTTCCACATCAAATATATCATATCTCTTTGGAATGGGCGGCAGTACAAAACACACACCGATTGTGTCTGAAAGCTCTAAAAGATCCCTTTTCTCATCATTATTAGGAAGAGAACCACAAGAACCAGAAAGTGTTATGAAGAAAGCGACCTACAATGACAATTATAATTATAATTATCATGAGAACGTTAACTTTTCAGACAATTTCTTAAATCATTCTATCAGTGATAATATTGGTTTGCCGAACGTACGTTTAGGAGCGGCACTACCAATCATACCTTCAACATACGAAAACACTTCATTTTCAAACTATAATAATCAACTGTGGTAATTTTATTTATTTATTTGAAGATTGACTTTATATAAAAGACAAATCTTTACAGCAATGAAACTTGGAATGATGGTTTTCTACAACGCGAGCAACATTGTTCGTTAATTGGGAACGATTCCGTTTTTGGAGATCTTTCATGTGATTCTACAACAGAATATGCCACTCAACAATCATTGAATGACGGTCCAATATACAGAGAGTCTGCAAAGAAACTGAAGAAACTGCCTTGTCCTGTTGCGACATCAACATCAACCACAACAAAATCAAACCTCCAACCATCGATACTGACGACGGCTGGATCAGGCCTTGCAGGCTTTTTGAGTTCATTATCAAATTCATTGCAATCACCTTCTGTTATGACTACAGAACCATCATCAACTTCATATTCTGCACAACTAGTTCCTGATAAATCTTTGTCTAATTCAACTTTCGCTAATTCTAAATATTATGATACCACACTAAAGAGTTTGTCAAATGCAACATCCAAACCAATTTGTTCTTCACATAATAGTTATGACTCCAACAATTTCAATAGTTATCTTCCTTCATCTTTAACAACGCCTGACTTAGAAGAAAGTTCTACATTGTTTAAATCAACATTAGCTAATACTTATCCTTTAGTGACAAACGCTAAAAAATCTTTATCACCAGATCTTATACAATGTCCTCCTACTTCTTATTCTAATTCGACGACTTATAAAGACATAAGCCTACCTTTCTCTTTATCTGGATCTAACTATAATAATAAGGGAATGCCATTAAGTATCTTAGGACATTCACCAATACCAGAGGAAAGTGAAAAAGATTTAAAAACCTACACACCTTTCACTATTTCTTCAACACTTCCGCCTTTAACAACTTATAACTACAATGCCAACACTCGATTGGATAGTACCTTTGATCAATCTGCTTTAACAACAGCATACGTTTCGTCATATGAGAGTAGTGGTGAATTTGGTTTGATTAATGCTACAGAATCGATTCGTACAGCAACAACATCGATTTTACCTTCAATGGATTATCATGAAGGATCTTCAAAGATCAAAACATATACTTCAACGAGCTTAAATGCTACCAGACTTTATAATCAAACAATTGAAGAAGAGATTTTTGAAGAAGAATATCGAGAGGATTATGAACAACCTGATTGCTTACCATCGTATAATAATAATTATGATATGTCTGTTTCATCATTTGACAACGGAGCATTGACAGTAACAACATCAACAACTACCACAACATCTTCGATAATATCAACAACATCTCCATACATTGCTTCTAAAACTATGGTTACTGATTCTGATGTTTCGAACATTCATAATGATTATGATGCTTCATCATATTACATGAATAGTAAATTGTCAACAATACCTGAAACAGCAAGTGATATTTATTTATCGACAAATGATTTAACACCTGGAGCTTATGCATATACAGAAGTAGAAAATGACATTATTGCATCTGGTGATCTGAAAAACACGAATTTGAATGAGTCAAGCAATAAACAACAAAACTTGTTAAGTCTAGATGATATGAATTTTTCAAGAAAGCCATTAGAATCAGTAAAATCATCAATGCAACCCGAGCAAAAAAAGTCAAGATTTGGATTTGGTTCGCTTTTGAGCGATGGACTTAATGTTATCGAAAGTAGTGTTAATTCTATCAAATCAACGGCAACTAATTTGGCAGGAGGAGCGCTTGGTGTGGTTACTTCAACGAATCAAACCACAAACTATTCTACTCCTGAATTCAACACACTTATTCAAAATCAAAGCACAGCTGAAAATAATTTAACCTCATCCCAATCAAATTCAAAGTTGACAAAGCAAAGTTCTCAAATGTACTATGACGCAAATGAGTACAATGAGTGTTATGATCATGATCAGGTTAGTAAATAGTAGGCGATTTCTTTTAATGGACCTTGTTTACATAAACTTTTCTTCTGAAACTTCCTTTGATTTTATTTGGTGTTATAATTTCACTAAGGTAGATATTTAATTTCATAAGAAACAAATGCCATAAGGTGAAGTTACTGAAACTTCAAATAAATATATTTTTCATTTAGAAATGGGACAGATATTTCTGAAATAATATAAACTCATTTTAACACTATATAAGATAATATCGTATCAATTTCCGATACATAAAAAAATTATTAGCTTCATTTCAATCAATATTGACAATTATAATATTATTTCGGCACGGAAAAGATGGAAATATAAAATATTAGGTACCTATCTTTTAAAAGATCAAAAATCGAAACAATTTACAAGTTTTTAATTTTTTTTAAATTGTTTTTTATCTTTTTTCCATTCAGGAATCATACATGGAATCTGATTACTTTAATGAAGAAGATGAAACACGATATCTTGCAGAAATTCATTCGCCAAATAACAATTATTTGGATCACCAGACGTATGATGAAAACCAAGCGGAAGAGTATGAAACTCTATCAATTGACAATAAAATTAATACTACTGACGAGTACAGCCGAAATATCCCACAAATTTGCAATAATAGTAATAAGCTCAACGATAATGATTCAAATAATAATGCCAACAGCATTTATGGAAATTTTTCTCAAACTCCATATGATAATAATGAGAACAAGACTATGACTCCTCCAGTTAGCATGGCAGACGATTACTATAAGATGTATGATGAGAATTTAAAAAATGATCACGATTACGACGAAGAATTTAATGATGAGTTTGAAATGGAGCCTTCAAAAATTCCGAAAAAGTTAGTTAATAAACAATTGAGCGTTCTAGAAGACGATGCGATTCTGAACAATGAAATAGACATGGAGCTAAAAACGCATCATGACTCTCAACATGAAAGTGATAATAAAAACTCAATAGAAATTGAAAAGTCAAATGTGATGATGAAGCAAGACAGTGTTATTGAAGAAGATTTGGAATTAAATCAAATTGAGGAAAATCACAAAATGGACCAGTATGACCAAGACACAAAACAAAGGAAAAGTGTTAAAATTTGTGATTCGGAGCTAGTTCCACATGAGAAAGTACGAGAGATAAGAACTGCAAAACAAAGATGGCATTGGGCATATAATAGAATAGTTCATCAGGGTCAGGTGAGTCAAATAAAATTTTATATTATATTAATACAAAGTATATTTAGGTATTTGTTCATTCAATAAAATCATTAAATATAGGTATTTATAACTTGCGGAAGTTGTGCTTGTGTTTATTTTTATAAAATTAACACTCAAAAGAACAGAAGCAATGCGTAGGGTTTCAATAACTACATCAGTTGTCATTGACCCAGCAGATAAGGGAAATGTTATAATTAAATATTGCTTTTAATACCCGCTGTGTTTGTTTCAACACTATTATAGTTCTGTCATTTTAACTTCCTGCACTTATTCTTTCTCTGCTTTGTAAATAAAAAGAATGTGGTTAAAGCTCATTCATTTCTAGACTTTCAAGTACTAACATCAAAAGTGTGCTTTACTTATTCGTTAAAATGACAACTCATAAAAAAGAAATTTCGACAACTGAAAGAACGAGAAAATTAAGCGATCTTCTTTATCGCAAAGCTACTTCGCTCCAACAATATCATATTATAGTTAGTAAAACGTATAAATGTGTATAAGATTCAGTTGGTTATTCACCGTTTATTTCAAAATACTTTAAATAATTTTAGTATATACCCAGTCTATTACGTTTTCTTGCTTAAAATATATAAAAAAAGTTATCAATGAATTGCTTCCAAATCTTCTCCTTATTTTCCCTTCCCTTGATCATTCCACTTCCATTTATTTCCAACAAATATTTCCAAAATATTTTTCTTATTGAATTCCTGAAAATGGCAACAGCAGCAAAATTAAGTGAATTATTTGATTTAACGAGTAAAATAGCATTTAAAGTGAAAAAACTGTATGAATTAAAGATATCAACTAAAAGTCACCGAATTTAATGTACAATTGTGAAAGCTTTGTGTGATTAGTGGAAAAAATCGAATATCATAGAATGCTTTTTTGGGTGAAAAAAAAAGTTCTACTCAATTATCGAATTAAAATATTTGTCTTCAAATGTTCAAGACGAATCTATTGATTTAAAGGAATTTAAATAACTTGAAATGGCAATATAAAAGATTTGAATCCTTTTACTTCTATTGTATTAATTCAAATACTTATATGTATCGGGGAAAATTGCTAACTTGAAAATTAACATTAAATGAGATTGAATTAGGTTGGAAAGAGATTAGTGATGACTTTGTTGTCTGTGCCTGAAGTTATACTAATGTATTTATTCATATTTTATTCCCTTTTTCAAGTCTTTGGTTTTCAATCAAAAAAGTTTTTCTTTTTTACGACTATATATTATCATATCTGACTTTTTTGGACTTGCGCAATAGTTTTAAGGACAAAAGTGTTCATTCATAGAAATATCTTTGAGTAAAATGAGGGAAATAATTTGGAAGTTAATTTTCTAGAACAAAAAAAATCTTTTTTATGCTTGTACGAAGATATCTCTGAAATAGGGAAAATATTAACTCCATAACTAATCAGCAGTTTTCAATTTTCATATTAATTCTAAGTATGCTTTATCAAATACTCTGCATATTTTTCTAAAGAAGACCCCAAAGAATTCTTTATCAGAAGATCTTTAAGGCCCATGGAAAGAAACCAAATAATAAGCAGATACGCTTGCGCTTCCAGTCTGTCGAATTCCTATTCATGTTTCCCATGTGCTTACAAACAGAATATAGTAAACAGTTAATTTGGAAGCTTTTGAACTTCTAAATAAATAACTTGTTTCTCATAATGTACGTAAAAACAGATTCTTATATTTCTATTGCCATTTTAAAAGTTATTTAGAATAAAAATACCTGCATAAAAAATTTATGAAAACATATGAATAAATTATCAGAAATGAATTAATCATAAAAAGCACTAAAGGCGCCATCAATTAAAGCGAGATAAATTTAAATAACCAATTATGGCAGAACAGTCTCGCTCAGTTTCATCGCATGTATCGCCAAATCTTCAAAGAATGCATTTAAAAATGCATTATCGTGGAAAAGATTCCGACACAGAATCGCCATCAAACTCCCCACTCCCAGATCGACGCATTATTACAAAAACCACAGCAAAAGCAATGTCTACAACTGATTTAAGCAACGAACAGTGTTCAAGTTTGGTAGAACGAAATGCTCAACTTTCTCTGATGCTTCATCAACAGCAAAAATACCCTCAACAGCATCATCCAATGGATCAGCAAATATATCAACAATTTAATCAAAAACGCACCAATAATCAACTATTTAAAATAGGCCCAAATCACAATGCTTCACTTGCTGATTTCCGGTCGGTTATCAATAATCAAACTGCTGATGATTTGATTGCAAGTAGAGAACAAATTAATGCTATAGTCAATGCTCAGAAACATTCCGATTATATTGTGTCAGATTATATGGATAAAATACAAACTCGTATTGCTTTATTAGAAACAGAATTGAAATTTGCAGATCGAAAACTGCATTTATTATACTCAGAGTACAATGAGATGTTAATGAAAATAGAAAAGTTAGAAGGTCTTACAATTGCTCAACAATCAGTACTTGCAAATTTATTGGATTTATATAATAATCAGTCCAAAGAAGCAAAAGCAGGGCAACTAAAGTCTGCATTTTTTTCTATTATTCCTAAAGAAATGATCCTTAATCGAACGGCTCCATTTAATGAAAATTTTCAACAGGAAGCTATGGTTGACTCAACTCAAATGGAATTCAATGAAATGTTAGAAGATTTAAAAAATGAAGCTATATTGGATGAGTTGAGAAACCTTTCAGGCAATGGAAAAATGATAATATCTGAAAGTGAAGCTGAATATCAATCTTTGCTAACAAATTCCAACCAACAGTCTTCCGCGCAATTTTTTCAGAACTTTTTCGAAAGTGATCCCAGCGGTGCCATTAATGGAAGAATCTTTCAAAAAGCAAATATAATGGAGGCAATAAAAGACTTAAATGAAGAACAAATTAATGTTGAGACGGATTTTTTTCGCAGTGGCGAGTTAAACAAAAGCCTTTTCAATAATATATCCACAGATGGAATAGTTTGTCCTCCATATCTCGACATGATTCGTGAGGATAATGAAGATAATAATAGAAATGACATGAAAGAAACTTTACCAACTGACGATGCTTCGAAAGCTGATGATAAGAGCGATTCAATATCCATTACAAAAAAATCTAAAGTTAAAAAGAAAAAGCATAACCAACAACTTCAGCAGCAACATTTACAACTTCAACAGTCAGACGATCAAATTGTACATGAATTGGCTGATGAAATTCTTAAATTAGAGAACATGACAAATCTACTAAGCAAAAATCAACTTGATGAGCTAAAGTCTATTGTTAAAGCTGACATCAAGTATTTTCAGAAGCTTCGAAAACTTGATACGAATTTTTTATGCCTGCTTGTAAATCCACCTGCATCATCAGGAATGGATCAGAAACCAATGTCGATTGAGGAAGAAGACGAGAGATTTTCAAATTTAATTAGGAAAATAAAACAGAATATGGAATTTTTTAAGCAATTCAATTCAGTCGATCAACCCGAGAAGGTTTCAACTTCTGGTTCGATATATAACAGTGACGAATATTTTCAATCTCTTAAGAAATCTTTGGATCGTCATAATTCAATGCAACTGTTGCTTCACATGCAACATCCGAACCTTCAAAAAAAATCTTCGCCACTTTTTCTGTACGAAGAGCAAACAATGGACGACCAATTTGATAACGAAAACTCGTCAAGTCCACCGCCTCCAGCTCCCAATGGAGATTTGAATTATTATTGTAGGCCTGAAATGAATGAAACTAATGATGTAGAGCAAGAATGGAATCCTTTTCATGCTGATATTTTACTCATGAAAGAACAAATGAAGAAAGATATTGAACCACTTTCGGCAAAAAGTTTGTCGCCTTTCAAAATAAGTGGCCAAAGATCACCACGAAATACTAAAAGTGATTCAGGCTTATCTTCAATGTCAGGATTTTCAAGCTTTGAAAGGTCACCAAGTTCCCCATCCAACTTTCCATATGACACATTTGCTTCAAAATCAAACATAAGAACATTGAAGTCAAATCAAGATTATGTTAAATTGTCCCTTCATTACCAACAACTTAAGAACCAAGTAGATCAAAACAACACTCCTTTGTTTCTTCCTGAAATATCAGCAGCTGCAACATCAGATGCAATTTATTCTGAAGAAAACTTGAACTACATTAAAGAGTTATCTAAAAATGTTCCTATATGTTCAATTTATGAAAATGAATCAATTTTTGATAGCTCTGAACCATCATGGGAAGTAAGTAAGAAAACTTCTTCTCATTCTTCAAAGACCTTCCCAGATTTGATTCTTCAACAAGATGAAACAAATAAAGCTCAAGAGTCGAGCCAAAAAAACATTATATACAACCAAAAAGTATCTTTGAAACAAGACCAAATGCAACAAAGAATTCCTAAGACTCAAAAGAGTTTGACTGATCATTTAGTTTATTACCCTTCACCAAAAGCGGATTTAGATTTTAAAGACATGGAGAACCTTCAATACCAAAGCAAAATAAGTGCGCATAGGGATCAAAAAATTTATTACAGAAGACAAGACGCTCAAAATGTTCAGCTTGATGAATTCATGCAAAGTGCACATGCTCAGCAGCAATTACATCTTCAACATATGCAGAAGCAACAAGATTTTCAGCATCGTGATCAAGCTTCACCTCGAAAAAGTGATGAATCTGATAAAGTTTCTTATTTAAATAAAGTACACGCATGGTTGCCGGGCATAAAGCTTAAGAAGAGCTCTAAACGACATAGAAGTTATTCATTGCCTGGAGAAGTTTATGATGATGGATTTGAAAATGAAGAAGTTGCAAAACCTCGTAAAGCGGGTGATGTTCCAGCTCATGTGCGTGGTAATAAGAAAAAGGATATTTATGCAATGAAGAATTATATGAAAGGAAAGAAAAAGCAATTGGCAAGTACAATGTCAACAATAATGACAAAAGCTAAAGTTTATCGACGACATAGCTTCAGTTACCACTCGGATAATGAAGAAAATCAAACTCAACCAACTTCGTCGTCTCAAGGCAAGTCGTTTCAATTAATGTCGAATACAGTTTCTAATAAAAGAAGTTATTCTGATACAGAAACTGATGCAAGTTCTATTTTCTCTGATGGAGAAGAAAATGAAATGATAGATGAGAGAAATGACAATGTTACATGTGCACAAGAACCTCTTTCACTTTTTGCAACGATGGGAGAAACATTAACGAAGCATTCCGATTATAACGACACCAATGAAAAAATCCCGGAACGCCCCTTAAGCGATTCCTCGAGTTTAAGTCGTAAGAAGTCTGTCGATAATCTTCAAGATGGAACATCGGAACAGAATTCATTCAACATGAACTTTTCCAGTAACAGCATGGAATTTGCTGTAAGTCGGAAGGTTGGAATTTTTCGAAAAAAAAGTTCAGTGTCTGATGAACAACAGCAAAATATTGTGACAACAACAAGTCCTACTACTTCCTGTAGTAATTCTGGAACTGAACAAATTGATAATAAAACACTTCAAGATGGATCACCAAAAGATCTTCAAGGAAATGTTATTAATAATAAAAGAATTCAACCATCACATTTACTTATAAAAACACATTCGATTTATGTTGATTCAATCGATGATGAGAATGATGTTAATGGTACAAACAAACAGCAAGACAACAACAATGATCCGATCTCATTACCCAGTCGTCAGTTAATACCTTCACCTCGTTACGAAGGATCAACTAAAATGAACAATCTTCGAGGTAACAGTTTGGATGTTCCTGGATCTCGAGATGACGATGATAATAAATCCCAACATTCATATAAAACGATATCATCATCACGTCGACAAAGTACCGAAGATTCTATAGATACTGACGATGAATATTTCTATTATGAAATGAGAAACCTTGAAGAGTTGGAACGTAACAGTCATATGCAATCAATTTTACAAGATAATAAAAATGAACTCATTAATGACATCATAAAACTTGACACTTCATTCCAAAATCAACAACCTGAACCAGATGATATTGTAAAACTTCAAATGGAAAAAGTCTTAAATGAGTTGAAAGAAAAAATTCCCTTAAGGGAAGCGATAAATAGCGAAGCCAGTAATGGCGGAAAAACGAAAACCAAAAATATTTATGACAAATTCTCGACAGCAACTAATATTCAATCAATGCCATGGAATCGTGATTCGGATGATGAATACGATGACCATATGGATCAATTGAATCAAATTGAAATGGAGATGAAAGACTCCACTTATGGAAAGATTAAAAAGAAGAAAAGGAAAACAAAATCTCAGAAATTTTCACCATCATCATCATCGGCTGAAGATGAAAAGTCTTCAGAACTACCCATGTATGATGATTTTGAAATCAATGATGAAAAGTTTGATAAACATTCTCAGTCGTCAGGAGTCACGTCTGGGCCAGATTCGCCCACGCAATCTGATGATGAACATGATGAATCACCCAAATTTTCTGACAATCGTTATGAAAAAGGTGTTCAAAATTTTCAAAAAAACGAGCAGCTCCTCGAGCATTTACAGCAGCCGCCCGACCATCATGATGATCGGGGAGCCAGCGAAGCCATCTTTCAGTCCCATACAAGTGCTGCAACAGAGACTGAACATAGAGAAACTGACGAAGAAAAGCCAAGGATGAAGAAATTCATGCAATTATCTTCAACTACATCAACTGATTCGACTACAATAGATTCTGGTATAAGTGACACAAGTGGGGGTGCGGGAGTATTAAATAGTAAATGGAAACTACTAAAAACATTAAAAGAAAGAAAGGAAATGACTAACCAAGTGAAAATCAAGGAAGAAGAAGAAGGAGGAAAAGAGAAAACAGTAAGTGATAAGAAAGTTATGAATGAAGAGACTTTTAATTTTCCTGAATCGTTCTTTTCTGAATGACAAAAGCCTTTCTGTATATCTCTGGTGAATAACTTGTTGTTTCTTTACACATTTAATTGGTTCTTATCCTCGTTCAATAATTGATTTTATGTAGCCACATAATTAATTTTAATAATATTTTAATTTCCTAGGTTGGGGGAGCAGGTGGAGATGGAGTTCGAGGGATGAGCAATCCTAACGATAATCCATTTTATAGCAACATTGATAGTATGCCTGACATCAGACCAAGAAGAAAATCTATCCCACTAGTATCTGAGCTTGTAAGTCAATGAAGTTTATTTTTATTTACTAATTAAAATGTCAAACGCAAATCCATGAAGATTAAAAACTTCCTGTTGAAAATGTCACGAAAAAACTTTGTTAATTGTGAAATAACTTTAAATATCTTTGTTACCTATATCCCTTGTTAATTGTGGATGCATCCAGGTTCTCAAGGTATAAATCAAATGAATCTTACATTATTTTACATTTCATTTAAATATTTTCTGAAAAGCTTCTTAAAATATTTTAATTTTAAAATTAAGATTTGGCTATGATTTTTAAAGGAAAATTATTTAATTTAATCAACCCAAGATATGCTAATTAAGTATTTTCAAATTAAAACTTTAAATTTATTTTATGTACAACGATATTTACACTTTCTCTTTATAAGTTGAATATCTATGTATGCTTGAATGTTTCAGTTTGCGTTGTAGTAAATATCCAAATAGAAAATGATATTTTATTTCATTTCAATTTGAAGCTGTAAATTTTTAAGAAACGCTTTAATTTATCGACCATAATCTGTTTAGACAATGGCAGCTACAAAACGAAACGCTGGCTTAACATCAGCAATACCAAGACCAACATTGAATGATGAAGATTTGGTGAGTTCCAGGATTTTATTTTTCATAATTTATCATCTAAACTAATGGAAACAAATGATATTAATGATTCACAGAAAACTCATGTTTACAAAAAATCTTTACAAGCGTTGATTTATCCAATTTCTTCAACCACACCGCACAATTTTACACCATATAACGCTACGTCCCCAACTTATTGTTATGAATGTGAAGGTAAAGATAACGTCGATTTAATATTCTGGTATTGCTTAACAAATTTTGTTTCGATTAATTAAAATTTCTGCGATTTTAAGGACTACTATGGGGAATTGCACGTCAGGGTGTTCGCTGTACGGAATGTGGAGTCAAGTGTCATGAAAAATGCAAAGACCTTCTAAATGCAGATTGCTTACAAAGTAAGTTGTGCTTTTTCTACTCTTTAGGAAATGGAAAACTATTTTATGGTCTGATTATGTTTAATAAAATTTTTATGATCTTTAAAATGAAATCTAAAAGATGTTCTTGACAACAGCGTTAAAATTTACTTCTTCGTCTTCTTTCGCATTGCATTGCTTTAAATTAATATCAAATTCAAATGAAGAATAGTAATAAAAAATTGATCATCTTCAATTACATTTCTTCTTTATATCGTTGAGAATTTCTTCAATTAGATATCTGATAAATAATAATTTATTCTTAAGCTTTTGAAGAATTGTAAATAACTTAACATCTGATTCATATCAAAATTAATTATGAATCAATCCTCTCAATAAACTCTCAAAGTGACTGATAAGAATTATAACTCGATAGTGAAACTTTAAAACATGAATTTAGAGTAGAACTTCAAAAAGGATGACATTAAGCTAATCTTCATACTTAGACTTACTGTCAGATTGTTCCATAATTTTAAATCCTGTGAAGAAGATGAAAGAAGTTACAATTAACAAAAGCGAATAAAAACTGAAACTTTTTTATAGTTACAGTATGGTGCTATGACTTATTGAACTATTTAACTAGTGTTTTATTTAAATCATGTAGATATTCTTAGATTGCCTGAGTATTTAATTTATTCCCTTAAATACTGTAGACCTTTAATTTGAGTCAATTTTAGTTCATAATTTTGGAATTTTTTAGATAAATTTGAAATTAGGTCCGTCGTCCTTAGGCGTAGTTTCTGACTCCGTCTGTAAAGAACTTTTTGATATTACTTTTTAAATTTTAGTGTGTTTTGCAGGAGCTGCGGAGAAGAGCTCGAAACATGGAGCGGAGGATAAAGCACAATCAGTTATGACTGCTATGCAAGAACGTATGAAACAACGTGTTTGTGACAAACCGGAAATATTTGAATTGTTAAGGTATGCGAAATATAACAACTAAATAAATTATTTAGTCTGCTATAGCTCAAATAAAAAGGATTAGTTGCAAATCAGGTTTGTTCGTGAGTTGATACAATGGTGACATTGGATTAATTATCTCAGGAATATACTGTTTATTCAAATGTTTTCCTGTTATTGTGCATACACGTGGTTTCATAAACTTTTCTTAAACGTACAGAGCCATATTTTGCTGCGACGAAAAAAGCCACTCAGGCCATATGAAAGCTGTTACTCAGAGTGTCCTGGACGGCACTAGCAAATGGTCTGCAAAAATTGCCATCACAGGTTTGCATAAATAATGCCATATGGTAGCGAAGATTGTTTCAGTGTTTAGATACTGTATTTCATTCGTCTTTCAACGTATTTTTATAAGTAATATGTTTGGTATATAAGTTCTCATGTTAGAGTGATCTAAACTTAATACGCTTTTGAGTCGAGTAACTCTTGAACAAATAATAATAATAATAATAATAATAATTACTATTATAACAACAATATTTTGTTTCATTTGGTGTTTTAAAGCTTTATCAGGCTTAATATCTAAGTAAATTGTTGCACTTTTTATATTGAACCTTTTTGGTTTATAATTATTCGCATAAATATGAGGCGATGCACGAGTTCAAATTGATGTTGTGCCATATTAAAAAAGTAATATTTTTCCTGTTTCTTTTAATGTAATTAGCAAGATCAGACCTGCTATTCATTAAGCATTCATGTCTAATTGAAATCCAAATGCAATTATATAAGGAAAATTTTGAAAATCATTGAGAAAAGAAAGTAAAACAATAGTAAAAGTGGAAAAATGACTTCGATAAGTAAATAGTCAAATTCATTATGAATAAGTTGAATTGAAGAAAAAAAGAATTATCTAGTTAAATAATTATTCAAATACATTTAAAGTTCAACTATTCAATAGATACTCCGAAATTTTATATGATTTAATTAAATTGACATTTTCGCAAATAATCACGATTACACTTTGTAGTATCAAGCTAAAGTATATCGGTTTCTATTGGAGATAATGATGATATTTATAACATTCTGGCCATTGATTTAGCGATAATATTCTTCTTATATGGGCTACAACTTTCAGGGATATAAACTTTGTTCAGAGTAATTTTAACAATTTTGTTCTGTTTTCATCTATAAATAAATATTCATAAAGGATGACTTTCTGCGTGGATCCAGATACGCATATTGATACAGTTGAACAAGCTAAAACATCCACAATAGAAGGAACATCAAAATGGTCCTGCAAGTTGTCAATAACAGGTACAATGAAGTCCTAGATACTTCATCAGAGTCTTTAAAGACACTCTAAACCAATACTTAGCATAAATATTTTGGCAAATTTAAACTGGCAATCAATCTCTCCCTTACAAACATTTAGCTGCTCTATTCAATTTTCGTATTTTAGCACAATGTTCGTTCATTCAAACTTAAAACTCTAAGACGTAATTGAAAATACGAATGAATAATTCTAAACTATCCTTTTGGCTAATGATGTTCATTTGATATTCTTCTTTTTTTTAAATTTTAGAATAGTTTTTTTCAACACTCTCAGAAAATATTAAAAATTATTTACATAGAACCTGTAACTAACTATGCATTACTCATTTAAATATTCACTCTGTCTTAATAATTATTCAGATAGGTTTTCGAATGCAAGGATATCTGGTCATCTTATGTAAAATTAATGTTGGGATGTTAATAACATTAAAAGTATGTTTTCTATATTTAGAAACACAAGATGACGTTGCCATTGAACGTTTTTAAATTATGAAAAATTAATGATACATTTTTCGTGAAAATGGCCTTTAGATTAATTTGGAAAGTTTTTTTCTTTCCTCAAAATAAAAAAAGTCACACGCATACTTATCAGTTTTGATATCAAAATGCTTAACAACTCTTTATTTGTATTATTATTAGTATTATGATCTTTCCACTTAATGTCTTATTTGTAAATATATTGAATCTTCAGCTTAGAAGTGGTGCTTAAAAGTCCAGTCTATGTATATATGATTTTACGCACCAGTATGACACATTAATTTATTATCATAGTTGTTAGTTATGTTGAAATTTGTCTTACACTTGGATGTTAGAAGTTGAAAATTAATAGAATATGAAAAAAAAATTAGAAATGATTTGCATGTAGATAAGCAGCAACATAACTAAGCAAATTTTATTAAATGTTTTGACTTCTTAATTAAAGTTTTTTTTGATTTTAATCCAGATTTTGTGATCTTCACTGACAGATTCTTGATGAAAATTTAAATAGAATGACTGATCATGATTGAAAATTTATATACAAAATCAAAATCAGAGAAATCTTTATGTTTAAATGCATGAAATTTTTCTGAAATATGTATTTTCCAATATTTACACATGCTTATTTGTATTTCTTATGCAAAAAAACAATGAAGCTCTGGCATCAAATTTATTATTTAATAATTTTAAATTTTATCATCGATTCACGATTTAAATGTAAATTTTATATCGCGAATTCGTGTTATAACTATTTCGCACTATTTTTCTATTACAAACTTCATCATCATGTATTCTGAATATTCTTTTATTAGTAATAATAGAAAATACAGTGAAAACATGATTTATGGAACGATGATCAGAATTTTGCATAGCTATGTATATCAAGTTTTACATTTCTATGTTCTCCCAAAAAGAATTACCATTCTTGATATTCGAATCCGCATGTCTACATTTTTGCTTTCCAGGTCTCTAAATGTAAAGTTGTTAAATGTTTATGTATTTTCCGTAGTCACAAATGTTTAAATTAATGCAATGTCTTCAAATAAATAATTTTTCGAATTTTCTCCTTTTTTCCAAATTTATCAGTAATTTGTGCTCAAGGATTAATAGCCAAAGACAAGAGCGGAACAAGTGATCCTTATGTAACAGTTCAAGTTGGTAAAGTTAAGAAAAGAACAAGGACAATGCCTCAAGAGCTTAACCCTGTGTGGAACGAAAAATTTCATTTGTAAGTTGAATTTTCTTTGCTTCAATAATTTTCAGTTTTAGCATAAGTAGATAAAAATAAGAGAGACTTATAATTTTTAGGCTTGTTATTGACAAGGTAAACATTCTTTCATTTCAGTGAATGCCACAATTCATCTGATCGAATAAAAGTGCGAGTTTGGGATGAAGACAATGACCTCAAATCGAAACTTAGACAAAAGCTAACACGTGAATCAGATGATTTTCTAGGTCAAACGATCATAGAAGTACGTACATTATCTGGTGAAATGGACGTTTGGTATAATCTTGAGAAAAGAACAGACAAATCAGCAGTTTCGGGAGCAATAAGATTACACATATCAGTTGAAATTAAAGGCGAGGAGAAGGTGGCACCGTACCATGTCCAATACACATGTTTACATGAGAACATTTTCCATTATCTGTGTGAGCAGAATATGGGATTAGTGAAACTTCCTCAAACCAAAGGTGATGACGCATGGAAAATATATTTTGATGACACCCCTCAAGAAATTGTTGACGAGTTCGCTATGCGTTATGGAATTGAGCCAATATATCAAGCAATGACTCATTTTCATTGTCTATCTACGAAATATCTCTGCCCAGGTGTACCATACGCCATGAGTTTTTTATTGGCAAATATAAATGCTCATTACGCACATACAACTGCTTCAAGTGCAGTTTCTGCTAGCGATCGTTTTGCTGCTAGTAACTTTGGAGTAAGTTTTAATGTTATCCTTTGAAAAGAAATTTATTCTAAAGGTTTTTATTTTTTTTGTACAAAAATAGAAAGAAAAATTCGTCAAGTTGCTAGATCAACTGCACAATTCTTTAAGAATTGATTTGTCATCTTATCGAACAATCTTTCCAGCATCATGTTCCGACAAGCTTGAAGATCTCAAATGTATTGTTGACTTACTTACTAGTATAACATTTTTCCGCATGAAGGTAATATGTTACTTACATTACTCAGATAAAATTGGATACATTTAATGAAATCATGAATACACAGAAAATAAATTAAGGAGATACTTATTTCGTATTTCACTTTTTCAGGTGCAAGAGCTTTCTTGTCCACCTCGCGCGAGTACAGTTGTAAAGGATTGCGTGAAAGCTTGCCTTAGATCAACCTATCAATTCGTTTTTCAACACTGCTACGAACTCTACTGCAGAGAATTTCAGGTTTTTTCAGATGATTATTATACTTACGGTTAAAGAAAATATATCAATAAATTTGTTTCCATTTTTAGGTCGATCCAAGCGAGATGAAACACGATCCAGATGATCAGGGTCCGAAACTTGATTCACTCGATTTCTGGCATAAGCTCATTGCGTGCCTTGTGTCAGTTATCGAAGAAGACCGTAACGTTTACAGTCCCAAAATGAATCAGTTTCCCCACGAACTTAATGTTGGTCAACAATCCGCTGCGACAATATTTTCCTTGTTGGCAGTTGACATAAAATATGCTTTGGAAGAACATGAACAGCATCGTTTGTGCGAGTCTTCGGCTTACATGAACTTGAACTTTGCTGTCAAGCGATTCTATGTCAAACATATTAAAGACGTGCCACCATATAAAGGCTCTGTTCCTGAATATCCAGCATGGTTCGAACCTTTCGTGATGCAATGGTTAAATGAGAATGACGATGTTTCATTAGAGTATCTCAAAGGAGCTTATGCAAGAGACAAAAAAGACGGTGTAAGTAAAATCTAGGCCATTCCTGGTAACTTTTTATTTAGTTACTAAATCATATTTCAATTACCATCCAACCAATAGTTTGTTAAAAGCAGTGAACATGCACTTTTCTCCAATTCGGTTGTCGACGTCTTTACTCAACTTTCACAGTGTTTCGATGTTGTGAGCAAACTTGAGTGTCCCGATCCAGAAATCTGGAAACGATACATGAGGCGTTTTGCTAAGACAGTAGTTAAGGTATTACTTTGCTACGTTGAAATCGTGAAGGTTGACTTTCCCGAGCAAATGAAAACCGAAAGAATTGTAAGACAATTTCTGTTTGAAACTATTTCCAATCAAATATTTGAATATTTGATTACAAATTTCCAGGCATGTGTTCTAATGAACAACATCCAACAACTTAGAATCCAACTTGAGAAAATGTTTGAATCGATGGGTGGAGAGAAATTAGAAGAAGATGCTGCGAATATTTTAAAAGATCTTCAGCAACAATTAAACAATATTTTGGATGATTTGGCTCTTCTATTTGCAAACAGGTTTGATAATTTATAAATCTATATGAAGTTTATGATTCTACTCGAAGCAGCTTAAAGTGACTCAAAGTTAGGAAATAGAATACTTAAGTAATCAAATTTCTGTTCTTTTAACACTTTCAGCCTTAAGCCTTGTATATCTCAAAGTGTTCGAGAGCTTGGTGAACGACTTTTTAATATCAAAGGCAATGGACCACAAGCAAAAGCGGGCTCTACAGAAGCTGACGAAGTTCTCAGACCTCTGATGGATCTTCTGGATGGTTCTCTCACAATGTATGCACAATCCTGCGAGAAAACCGTTTTAAAGCGCTTGTTGAAGGAATTATGGAAGATTGTGATTAGAACCATCGAGAAAACCATCGTACTACCACCAATTAATGACAAAACGGTAAATATGAGATTTTCGAATATATGAAAACATGACATAAACAGTTTTGGGCTATTTCAGATCATCTTCAAAAACTTAACTGACAATGCAAAGAATATTGCCGCGAATGCAAAAATAGAAGATATGGGACGTTTATTCAAAACACACATATCATCAAAACAGGATGTTAAGAGTACTCTTACTAGTGTTATAGAAGTAAGTAACATAAGAAATAATTTGAGTTTTTCCTCTTTATCTTGAATATATATTTTAGCTTGAGAAAAATTTGTCGTCTAGTCAAACAGCTGTACTTAATGTATGTTTAGACACAATTAAACAATACTTCCATGCAGGTGGAAATGGACTAAAGAAAACTTATCTTGAAAAATCTCCCGAACTTCAAAGTTTGCGATATGCTCTTAGTTTATATACACAAACAACAGATGATTTGATCACAACATTCAACACCTCTCAAGCTGCAAACATGTCTCAAAGAGGTGTACAAAATACCCCAGCTCAAGAAGGTTGGTAGAGATCTATTTGTTGTAATATTTCAGAAAATGAACTTGGATCAGATCAAAAAAAGTTCTTTCCTTTCGAATTTGCATTATTTAAATGGCCTTAATCTCAATTCAAACTATGTATTGAAATATCCCATCTATCTTTCCTCTTTAATTCTTTATTTGTTCTGGCCTTTGAATCCACAAACAGAACGCCGCAGACGATGTCTTGAACAAGATGAAAATGCAGAAAATACAAATCAGCCGCCTCCTCCTAAGCAAAGAGTTGGACAACTTCAGAGTCAAGGTTTTTTATTATTTTGAGTTTACCACATTTTTCTTTCGCTTTGGTCGATACTTTGAAGAAGTTTTTAATGTAGCAAAGTTGCAAAAAAAAGGTTAAAATAGTTCGAGGCTCAGACAATTCCTGTTTGGAGAACAACATTCGCTGCATGTGTTAATTATTTAGTTTATAACAGCAGTCAAATAAGTTACTAGATTATAGAAATCAGCTTCTTATTTTATTTTTGACTGCACTCTTATGTTTATGAGAACACCTCACGTGAAAGAAAAAAATGATAGAATGATTATTTTGCAGCATTTACCAAATTTTATAAAACTATTTTATATCCTATTTTCGCCATAGTTTGACTAGATTGTTCGCCAATAGGGCTCAACCATAATTCATAAAAACATTTTCCTGTCTTTACCTAACATCGTTTATTAATTTTTAGACTCAACTAATGCTGATGACGAGGTAGTGGGAGAAGTTTCAGTTCAAGTTGATCTATTTACCCAAGCGGGTTCTGGAGAACATAAAGTGACTGTAAAAGGTATAAAATGATACACAAAACTCAAAACTAAATTCAAAGAAAAATATTCTCAAAATACTCATAATTATATTAGTTATTGCTGCTAATGATTTGAAATGGGCAAGTCCATCGGGAGTCGTATTCAGACCCTATGTAGAGATAAATTTAACTGGACCACATCTTCAAGATAAGAAAAGAAAAATGGCAACTAAATCAAAAACAAATAATTGGTCACCGAAATATAATGAAACATTCCATTTGTAAGATAAGCGTTAAATATAAGTGAAGAAGGCATTCTAAGAATCTTATATAATTAAATATATTTCAGTGCATTCAATACGGCTTCAGAGGATCAACTTGATTTTTATGAATTACATATTTGTATTCGAGATTATTGTTTTGCACGTGAGGATCGGTTAGTTGGAGTTGCTGTACTTCAACTGAAAGATATTGTTGATCAGGTAATTATAACTGAATTTCAAGAATAGACTTTAGTTCATTTTTAAACTTTATAAATTCAGCGTTCGTGTGCTCGCTGGTTACCGTTATTCAAGAGTATTCCCAAAGATGAAACTGGCTGGACAATCCTACGTATATTGTGGCAAAGAAGTAACGATGAAGTTGCTAAGGAGTTTGTTAAATTGAAGTCGGAAATTCGTCAAGAACCGTCACAAGAGAAATAAATGTAATAAGTAATGGGATACTGGATATATATTATTGGATTTATCATCCACGGACATATGAATTAAATATGTAATATGCTAGTGACCTAACGTTTTTCAGGCTACTTGGCAAGGGCACATCTATTTATCATGAATTAAATATTTTGTTTTTAAGATTAATAGCGTAAAGAAAATAATAATAGTAATTAAAATAACACAATATTAATAATAATAATCATCATCATCATCAACGGATGCGTGTAACAAAATGATAAGAAAGCACTACATAAATATATGTCACATAACAAATGTTAATCATTTTATGGGACGTATCAATAAAAGGATGACAAAGCCTTTAAATAAAACTAATTTGTGTTCTTTCAACTACATATCTCTTTGATTTCAGGATCTCTTGAATTTTATTTATTTTGCTTTAATATGTAAAAGTTCTTTAATGTAATTATATGTTCATTATTTTTTGTTTGATAACTGATACCAAAGATTTAGGAGAAAAAAAAAGTGTTAATGACCTTCGCAATGTGTATGACGTAGGTATATGTACATGGAACATTCAACAGATGATAATATAATAAAATTAACGTATCTAAAGCTTTTAAATTTTGAAAACATAACAACAGTTCTAATTCGAAATTGTTCAGATTTCGAACAAATTTTGTTTACAATTAGGAGATTCCAAATAAATTTTTCATTCCTACTTTAAATAAAAAGAAATAATTACTAAAATCTTGTGCTGAACGTTCATTCCTTCAATATTTGTTGAGGCAAGTGCCTATCAAATTTAAAAATACAAGGAAATCATAAATTAATAGGATTATTGAAAAATTCTTAATCACAATAGCAAGAAAAGTGATACTTTTATGATTTTAAAATTGTGAATGAGAATCGTCATAAGTTTAGCGAAATCTCTATTCTGATTGATTCTTATATGCTTTAAATTAGTTTAGTGTGAAAAAATAGTGAATCCTTGTGATAACAACGAAAATTGAAGCAAAAAATATTTTGAATGAAAATTTCATATTTCAATGTTTTCCTATTAATTGAGCACCGTGAAAGCCCTAACTTAGTTGTTGTCATGAAAAAAAGAAAAATGAATTCGATGAAGCTTATAAAATCTTCATAGATGACATAGTCTCCTTTATTTTTTGAAAAACATTAATTTTGTTGCACAAGCATGCTATCTCCTTCTATGTTCGAAAATTCTCTCTCACTTACTCTCTCTCTCACTCAAACAAAAGGACACGCGACTTCAGATGTAAACAAAAACAAAACGTGCTTCATATCGTTGTTCAGTGCCGATTTGAATTTTTTTACGGAATATACCTATTTCTGAAATATTTGATAAAATATAGAACTAAAGTGAAAAACTTTAATTGAAAAGTAAAAATAATTTATTTCTTTTAGAATAAATCACTTACATAAGATCAAGGCATCGTCAGACCTTTTGTGGTCTACAATTCCAACTTCAAGCCAAAAGTGAATAACATCTTTTGTGATGGGATTGAATTATTTTATCCTATCATTATTTTTGGGCTACTCGCTCGCTGCTTCATCTAACAGTGAAAAGGATATGAAAGGTCCAGTTTTTGTCAAAGGTACATTTAAAAAAATCGTCATTCAAAAACTGATACTGTAAACCTTTTTTTTATTCTTTTTATTGTAGAACCCGAAAATCGTATTGACTTTTCAAACAGCACAGGAGCTGTTGTAGAATGTCGAGCTAGTGCCATACCACCTGCCGAAATAATCTGGATCAGAAGTGATGGAACTGCAGTAGGAGATGTTCCCGGCTTACGTCAAGTTCTTCCAAACGGAAACTTAGTTTTTCCTCCATTTAGAGCTGAAGATTACCGACAGGAAGTTCATGCACAAGTTTACGCTTGTATGGCTAGAAATCAAGTGGGACAAATTATATCGCGCGACGTAAATGTGAGAGCTGGTGAGTTCAATCATTTGGATTTTGTTCATTAGAAATCGTATTACAGAAAAATATTTAGTAAGAAAATATGTAAAAAATATAGGAACAAAGTAAGTTTTATGGTGAAGTGTTTGCAATTTAGTTATTATCAATTAAAGGATTTGTGTGATTAAGCAATAACTGTGAACATGGATGAAATGAATGTAAATAATTGAACGTTTTTTTGGAAATTTGGGAAATCAGCCATGGTTATGAAAACTTCATTATGCTTAAAGTTATTTTAATTTTTGTGTGTTTTTATGTTTGATTAACAAAGTCATAAATCAACCTTATGCTCCGGAAATCCTTGGAACGGAATACGTCATGAGAGGAAATGCTGCCATTCTAAAGTGTACTATTCCATCTTTTGTTGCTGACTTTGTTTATGTTCTTGAATGGATAGATGAAACTGAACAAACTTTCAAATATGATAGCTCCATCAAAAATGGTATAAAAAAAGTAGAATCTTCAAAGAAAATCCTTTTCCTATCATAAAACGCCTTAATTTCTTATGAAATTATTCTATCATTTAGTTAAGAAAATCATCGTTGAAAGGTGGCAAGAATCAAGCGCTCAAAATTATAAGAAAAAATTCTTTTTTAATTTTGAAGCGTGATGTTCAATTATGATCAGCAAAATATTTTTAATCTTTCAAAGTCGTTAACCAGCCATATGATCCAGAAATTCTCGGAAAAGAATATGTGATGAGAGGAAATGCAGCAATTCTAAAATGTACAATTCCATCGTTTGTTGCTGACTTTGTTCACGTTTCTGAATGGATCGATGAAAATGGCGAAAGCTTTAAATATGACAATGATGTCAGCGGCGGTATTTATTTTAATTATCCTTTTTAAATCATCCCAATCTTCCTAACTACATTTACAACTTTCATTTTTATTATAAAAAGATGAAATCTGATGCTACAAATATTCGTCCACCTGTTGCATTCTACAACAACAAATTTTATTAATACCTGATATAAATCCATTGACATAGGCACGCTTTTTTAAAAAATAAATAAATTTTATTTTTGCTACCTACTTAGTGGTGAATTTAATTTACGAGGCTGAAATTTACAAAGAATATGTAATGAGAGGAAATTCAGCGATCATAAAATGTTCCATTCCATCATTCGTCGCTGATTTTATTCAAGTTGTTGAATGGATTGATGAAAACGGAGAAACATATACTCGTGCCAATAACTTTGATCAGGGTATTCTTTACTCTTCATCTAGAAACCTTTTGCTCCAAAAAATCCTTCCAATATTCCCTTTACTTCATTTTTAAAAAAATATTTCCATTAACATAGTCTTATAAATGTTTAATTAGTTATTTTGAACTGGATACATTATGAATACTCACGAAAAGTGATATCTTTATTCGATATTCAGAATAAATTAAACGAACAAAAAATATCAGAAAGGTCTCTATTTTGAATTTGAATCTTTTTATTTTTTTCCTTTTTTTTCTTAGTTGCTAATTTAATATATGAAGCCGAGTTTTTCAAAGAATATGTGATGAGAGGCAACTCTGCAGTTTTGAAGTGTTCTATCCCTTCATTTGTTGCCGATTTTGTTAATATCGTTGAATGGGTTGACGAAAATGGAGAAATATATGGGCATTCAAAGAACTTCGACAATGGTAGTTTGTTTTTCATCTCCATTGAGACAAAGTTTGACTTTTCTACCATAAATTCCTTCCATGTTTCCTTTTATTCCATATTAAATAAATGTTTGGGTAGAATGTAAATTTTCAATTGAATAATCTATTTGAGTACATCTGCTTTAGGAATAACGAACATATTTATAATTTGTTCCTTTCACGGGGCATTTTTTTCTGTTATAATTTCACTTAATTTCAAGAATAATTTTCATCTGAATTTTAATTTATTTTCCTAGTTGTTAATTTAATATACGAAGCCGAAATTTTAAAAGAATATGTAATGAGAGGCAACTCTGCAATTCTGAAGTGTTCAATCCCTTCATTTGTTGCCGATTTTGTTCACATCGTTGAATGGATTGACGAAAATGGAGATCGATATGCTCAAGAGAACAACTTCGATAAGGGTATAAAATACGTCAAAACTTTATTGAATCTGAAAAAGAAAACTCCATTAATTTATCTTATCCTTCCGAATCCTTTATTTAATTAGTTAAATTAACGATAAAGCTATGAATTTCTTACTAATTTTATTTTCTGTTTCTATCTACATTAAACTCGACATCTTAAGAAAGAAGAAATAAGTAGAACAGAAGCAACTCTAAATGGATCTAAATAATATTATGATTACTATGTACAAATTTGTTTTTTTTAAGTCGTAAGCGTCGGTTATAATTCTGAGATTGCTCCAGCTGAATATGTTATGCGTGGAAATTCAGCTATCATAAAATGTTTAATCCCATCTTTTGTGGCTGATTTCGTCCATGTTCTCTCATGGGTTAGTGACGATGGGGCAGAATATGGTGGAAGTACAAACTTTAAAGACGGTAAACGATGTTGCGAAGGCAAATTCGAAACCTAAACACTTCTCCTGTAATTTTATTTTGTATTAGATATAATTTTATTTGAAAACATTTATGACGCATCCTTATGAGTATTTGTTTGTCTTTTTTGCGTTAAAAGCTGTGATTCAATTTTACGAAATCGAAGCTGATAACGAATACGTTATGAGGGGAAATGCTGCAATTATGAGATGCAAAATACCGTCTTACATAAGTGATTTTGTCACAGTCGATTCGTGGCAGGATACCGATAATAACACCTATACAAATTATTCCAAAGGTTTCTAGAAGCAAATCAACGCTCTTTAAAGCCTCAATCCGTTTATCTCTTACTTTTTTATTTATTTTAATTTACGTATGATATTTAAATCCGAGTCAATTGATTTATGTTTCAGTTGTTCAACAGAAATTTGAGATTCGTGTCATTGATGAGTTTGTATTGTTGGGAAACTCAGCTATTCTTAAATGCTTGTTGCCATCATTTGTAGCTGATTTTGTTCAAATAATTTCCTGGTTAATTATTGAAAATGATGAGTCACATGAAATAAGCATGTCAAACATAAACATGGGTAAAGTGACGATATGATCTGGTAGAAATAAGTCCCTTCATCCATTTTCCAATTACTTTAAAATAAAAAAAACAATTAAGCTTAGCTTTCCTTTTTTTTCTTTTTCAATCTGTTACGTTAAATAAATAGTTGTCAGACAATATTTTGAGGTTCAAGTATATGATGTGTTTGTCATGCGAGGAAACACTGCTATATTTAAATGCCAGATTCCGTCATTTGTTGCTGATCATGTAGAGATCTTAGAATGGATGAGCAGCGAAAATGATATTTACACAAGTGCACATCAAGACAACAAAGAATTATCAAATAGTTATGGTGCGAAATTCATTCGAAATTTCTGGATTTTGTTCCTGATTCCCATTACATACACCTTAAAAGAGTTTAATAATTTTTCATATTTTAATGACCTTTAAATTAATTAAATATTATGAATTCTGGAAATATTTTAGTCATATCACATTCGTATTCACTCAACGTCATGGATGAACATGTCTTAAAAGGAAATTCAGCTATTATGAAATGCCATATCCCCAGTTTTATATCAGATTTTATATTTGTTGATGCATGGATAGACGAAGAAACTGGAGAAGAATTTCGAACCGATATAGGGGGAACCATGGGTAGAAAATTTAATCAAAAAATATATTTAACGTTAATTTTTCATTTATCAGTTGCCCCAATTTAAATATTTATGTTTTATGATTTTTTGAACATCTTTTTAATTTCATCCTTAAATCCAATCCTGTTACTAAGTAATTTTCCGCAAGTCTCACGACTTACCTTCTATCCTGAAATCCTTCTTCACTTAATTTTAAGGATTGCAAATTGAATAATTTTGAGTTAAAATCATAATGATATTTATGTCATTCTTTCTCAAATTAATTCTTTTGCAATCAATCAATTTATAAAAGCGACATTGGATCATACGTAAATTGAAGATTTCAAATTCTAAAAAAGTAATATTTATATTCCAGAAAGGTTTGAAAAGTAAAACTTTTAATTCATAGCTTTTTAACATGATTTTTTTTTCCAAGCATTCGAAAACATGACAAGATTTCATACTTTAATTTTATATTTTGCGCGAAAAATTCCAATGTCGCTGCTTGTTTTTGAGATTGACTCTAATGCTTACTTTTTTCAAATGAATTCGATAGACGGAAAATATTTAGTTCTTCCATCTGGTGAACTTCATATCAAAGAAGTTGGGCCGGAAGATGGCTACAAAAGTTATCAATGTCGGACTAAACATCGCCTAACAGGAGAAACAAGATTAAGCGCCACCAAAGGACGACTCGTTATCACAGGTAAGGAAAAATTTAATATCTAAATATCTAGTAAAATTAATAAGTATTTATGCAGGCCCGGTATTTAAATAAACTTTACGGTTTTCGTGTATACATAAATATATTTTGTTTCTTGAGTATGTATAAGCCGTAAGCTGTTGTGAAAAAGCTATATGATTGATTCAGGCTTGCTTTTCCGGTAAAGTCTATAGTTTTCAAGTTCTAATTGCAATCAAATACCTGGCCTGAAGTAAATATTTGGAAAGCTTTAAATATCAGATTTTCTTTAGTAAAATGTTTTTCTCGATTTCTTAAGAAAATCAGATATTAATGAATTGTGATATTAACCATTGCAATACTGTTGCTGTTTTCTGAAAAACAAACAAGCTACAACTCTGTATTGAAAAACTGTGATTTAAAGTCAGTTTAGAGATTTTCTCTCTGCAATCAGCTGTTTCTAAGCTGAGTAACAAAATTAGTAGTCATACTTCGTAAATGCTACAAAAAATCAAAGAAAATTTTTAACTTCTTAGGTAGTATCTAAGTATTTTTGAAAGTGTTATTTTAAAACATTTGTTCTTGTTTGCTTCCGAAAGCAGTCGACAGTATAAAATATGTGTATGTATGCAGAGTTGAGCGTTTCTTTCAATAAAGCCTTCAATGATTGTTTATTTAAGTAGAATTTTTCTATTTGAAGCAAATTAAATAATTTTTTTTGCATAAGTGATCAACTTCATGGAATCATACATACATATATTACTTAGTCATATAATGAACATTATATACATATGTATCATCCAAAAGTAAGAAAATTTGATGATAGTTTACTTTATGAGTCTACTTTTCTATTATAAAATTAATTGTCAAACTTTGAAGCAAGTAAGAATATTTAAGATGAAGTGAATTTTTTGTAAATATATAAAGAACAATTTTCTTCCTTTTTGATAGAAGCGAATATTGCAATTAACACAATTGATGCAAATCAATCGTGTTTTCAATTTGAAGTATTCTAGGTAATAATTAGAGATTAGGAAAGATGGAAAAGTGAAGTCGGTGAATGATTTAAAAACTGAAATTTTTTACAAATTTTTTCTTTAGAATTTTTAAGAGAATAATTCAACCCTTTTCTTTTCCATCCTATTTAAAAGTAAACTGTTCAAATTCAAAGCATCAGTTTCCCGTCTAATACTAAAATATACTGAATAGTTTATTTATGCTTCAGATCACAAATAAAGATTTTTTATTCATTTTTTTTAATCTGCTATAAAATTTTACTTTTTAAAAAATCAGTGGAAAATGTAGCATGAACATTTCAACATTTTACTTTTAAATTAAATTTATTAACGTCAGGCGCGATTCAAAAAAGAAGGGAGAGACACACAAGAAATCATTAAACAAAGGATCAAGGCTTGAGATATATGAGTGATATTTGATTAGATATTCTAAAGTGACACTTTACTATTTTATAATTTTCTCTTCACAAAAATTAATAATGAAATCATGATGAATATGATGCCTCCATGCTGAGAAAAATTATGCAAAAATTTTACCGTTTCAAGATTTTTTACCTTCTGTCTCTAAATTGATGAATTCATTTTTAAAAAATAAGTAATATTCATATTGATCGTCAAAATTAGAGCCTGTTGGAAGCGTGAGTCCTAAACTTACTGCAGGGAATTCCGATCCAAAACATTTAAGTGGTACGAAAAGTACCGACATAACAATTTTAAGCTGTGCTGCTCAAGCATTTCCGACACCTGTTTTCAGGTGAGTTCAAATACGACAGTTTCGAATGTAAAACTAGTTTGTGAAATTTTGAATCGCGTTTTGATTGAGCTACATATTTCAAGCATTAAATAAAATTGTTTCAACAATTTGTTACACATTCCAGAGCCAGTTGGTTCTGTTGGTCCCATGATAAACATCGCTGATCGCTTATCTGTAAATTTTGGAGCAAAGGGTTCTTCGCTAAGCTTAGTTTGTCCCGCACAATCATTTCCAACCCCAGTTTTCCGGTAAGATTCATATAATTCTCATGGCTATCGTCTAAGTTGATCTTCTTTCTCCCTTCTTTTTTGATTATAAAATTGTTAATCTCAAATAAACAAACTGAATTCAAAATATAATTTTAGAACCCATAGGGTCGGTTGGTCCTAAGCTTAATGCACAAGTCACAATTTTGTCTGAACGTTTAAATTCAAACATTAGCTTATTGTGCCCAGCACAATCATTTCCAACTCCAGTATTTCGGTAAGATTCGAAACTGTCCAATAAAATGTGCAATGGCGTTAACAATTCCTTAAGTAGAAATTAATAAAAGTGTGTGGTTGGCTTTTTCGATTCTGCGCGAATTAATTTCTATATAAATTTGCTTTCTGTGACAGAGCCTGTTGGTTCTGTTAGTCCAAAGAAAACTACTGGAGATGATATTAAAGTCATATGGGCAAGAAAAGGTGCAACTCTTGGTATTCTATGCCCAGCACAAGCATATCCAACACCAGTTTATCGGTATGCATTTTCAATTAATCTGAAAAATATGAAATCGCATAGGATAAAATCTTTTGAAATTTCCTTTACTCGCATTGTCGTTCATAAATTGTACTTATCAGAAAATTACCTTTCGTGTTTTATTGTCATAGAACCTATTGGTTCTGTGAGCCCTAAAGTAAATGACGTAGATAAGACTCGTGTCATTCAACGTGACTCAAAACAAACCATTGGTATGTTGTGCCCATCTCAAGCTTATCCAACTCCTATCTTTAGGTAAATGAAAATATCTGTATATTTGATTCAAATTCCCTATCTTCGTGTTGTTCTTTTTTGAATCGCCAGCTAGGGTCTAATAATTCATATGAAAATATCTTCTTTTTCAATTAGAACCTGTTGGTTCAGTTAGTCCAAAAATTCAAACTGGTGATGAATTCAAACGTTTGAAAACTAAAATTGGAACATCATTTAACATCTTATGCCCCGCACAAGCATTTCCTACTCCAATCTTTCGGTACGTTGGAGTTCTTCGCTGGAGAACAATTTAATTACCTACGTTCTAAGTGCAATAGTTTTGAAAATTTTCTTCATGTTCGGCGTTTGATTTTTGGCTCATTGTGTCGTCTTAATAATTCCATAAATAACACCTTCTATTTATATAGAACCTGTTGGGTCTGTGAGCCCAAAAGTAAATGCAGCCGACGAGCTTAATATTTTACGAGGAGAAGTTTCACGTACACTGAGCTTATTATGCCCAGCACAATCTTTTCCAACACCCATTTTTAGGTATTTTTTCCTATGACAATATTAAAGTTGCATTTTTTTCTCTCTAGAGCTCTCGTTGAATATTCTTTTGGCTCGTGTTAGGATTTCAGTAAAGTGTCACGTTGAATTTTTTTTCTATATTAGTTTCTTGTGTGCTCATGAACCTCCCTTCAATGCTACTGCTAAGACAATAACAACATTTTTCGTCATTGCTTTGAAAAAATAATTGTAAGTTTTTCTAAAAAGAACCAGTAGGATGGGTTCGTCCAAAAGTTGACATGGGCGACGGCACAATATTCAAAAAAGAAGCCGGTCAATCATTAAGTCTTTTGTGCCCCGCCCAAGCATTTCCAACTCCAGTATTTAGGTAAAAATAATCTATATATGAAAGCAGATTATGAATTTGCTTTATTGAAGTTACATTTTCTAAGTTGATGCATAGTTTTTGATGAAAAGTTGATGAGACTTTTGAACTTTGATTTAGAACCAATTGGATCTGTAAGTCCTAAGATAAACGTTGGAGACAACTTAAAATCTTTGAAAGGTGAATCTGGCAAAATAATGACCCTTTTGTGTCCAGCTCAAGCATATCCAATGCCAGTATTTAGGTTGGTGTAAACTTTGATCGTTTAAATTTTGTTATAAGAATTGATCAGTTCTTTTAAATTGGCTTTCTTATCTTCTAAAAATTTTTTTGACGTACACTCAAATATCTCAACGTCTTGCATTCTTATGAACCAAAATAAATTTAATGTTTTTTTATTTAATTGAAAATATAACTCTTTTGAAAATAATTTATCAGAACCAATCTCATCAACTTCTCCGAAACTGTCTTCAATTGACACAAGACCAATTAGTCACTTGAATGGAACTTCAGTCTCTATCCTTTGCCCAGCCCAAGGCTACCCGGCACCCATTTTTCGGTAAAATGATTTGGAATTCATAGAAGTCCTTTAAACAAAAAAAAGATAATTTTTTTCCGGTTTTGATGTTGGAATGTTTCTCATGAGGAAATGATTTTTGTCCGTTGAAAATTTTCATTTCATTAGAACCAGTTGGTCTAAAAGCACCGGTTTTCAGTTCAGAGTCTAAAGGAAGTATTTTTGAACGCACTGTTGGTTCAGCAACCACGTTACTTTGCCAAGCACAAGCTTTTCCAGTTCCATTGGTTAGGTATGAAAAATTATCTACATAAGACATTCTTTTTGGAGTTTAGGGTCTGGTTGATATCTTTCCTTTTCTAATCATGATTAAAATGTACATGTATGTTAAATTATTATAAGTGAGCGAATCCTTTACAAGTAATAAGTATTATAGATATTGTAAATCAGTGTGTTTTAAAACGCTGATCCATAACTTGGTTTTTTTATTGTCGCAGAGCCAGTAGGATTTAAAGCTCCAGTATTTTCTTCTGACTCAAAAATCAGTCACTTTGAGCGAGAACAACATTCATATTTCAGCCTATTATGTCAAGCTCAAGCATTCCCCGTCCCCGTTTTTAGGTAAACATAAATAACTTTTTTCCTTTTGAAATTTTCAGAACCAGTTGGATTTAAAGCTCCAACGTTTTCAAATGATATGAAAAGCATTTCAATTTCAAGGAGTGAAGGTATTCCATTTGAATTATCGTGCAAGGCTCAAGGCTACCCTTCACCTTTATTTAGGTATTTGCACTTCTAGATATTATTATAGAAAATTCCCAAAATGTTTCGTGAATTGATTCATGACAGAAGAAAAATTTAATTAAGGAAATTTGTACTTGTGTGTTTCTCTCTCCCTTTCTTGAAAAGAAAAGATTTTGAAAAATTCATAATGATAACGAATACACACATTTTAATTATTCCATAAATTCATATAGAACCTGTTGGCTCAGTTGCACCAAAACTAAGTGGTGGGAGACTTCAAGAAAAAATTTCAAGGATAAATGAGTCGATTTCAATGTTGTGCTTAGGCCAGTCATTCCCAGTTCCATTATTTAGGTAAAGGTTAAATGCATAAACTCTCAAAAGTCGAAAAATCGTGCTGTATTGGTTCATTAACATTTATACGTTGTGCTAAGTTTGTTTTTAACAATGTGTCTTACAATTAAATTCTGATCAAATTCTGATCGTTCATTGTTTATTAATATTCGTGCGTTAATGGTTTTGCAGTTCTAATTTCAAAAAAGGAGAGAATTTTTAATGGAAAACTTTCGATTGTTTGTCTCTTCTTTCTTCATTTAAGATATTGACCAAACTATAGAATAGCTTTCTAAAATAAAACTAAATCAATTTACAGAACCGATTGGCTCAGTAGCCCCAAAACTTACTGGAGATAGGCTTCAAGAATTAAAAGTAGCATCCAATCAACCCATTTCTATTTTGTGTTTGGGTCAATCCTTTCCAGTACCTTCATTCAGGTAAACTTACGATGCGATGAACGTTGTCTTCTCATTTTTTATTTGGTTTGTGTCCTTATTTCAACTTGACTTATAAATCTAGTTATTCAGAGTTTACATTTGTTGATTCGCTCTTGTGGTTTTTTGTTGAAGGAGTCATGTTGTCTGTTGTATAAGGTTCCAAATACTTCCATTCCTCTTGCCGTTGAACTTATAAAATTTTTATGATTTCAACCAGAAAGCAATATTTTAATACTTTTTCTACTATGACAGATGGTACAAATTTATCGACGGCACTTCTCGAAAATCTCCAGTTCCATTAGGAGAACGCATAAAACAAGTCTCAGGAACACTTATCATTCAGAACGCTCTGGTCGAAGACTCTGGAAAATACCTTTGTGTGGTTAACAATTCTGTAGGAGGAGGTTTGTTATTATTTATTTATGTATACGAATTTATAAAAAAATGTTACTTAAATGTTACTTTTAGAGAGTGTCGAAACTGTGCTTACTGTAACTGCACCACTTTCTGCTAATATCGAGCCAGCATTTCAAACTGTTGATTTCGGAAGATCAGCTATATTTACTTGCCATTTCTCAGGGAATCCAATCAAAACTATGAAATGGATGAAGGATGGAAAATTCATTCATCATTCTGATGCAATTTTAAGAATCGATTCAGTTAAAAAAGAAGACAAAGGGATGTATCAATGCGTAATCAAAAACGACCAAGAAAGTGCCCAAGCTAGTGCAGAACTTAAATTAGGCGGACGATGTAAATTTATTAAAATAATTTGAAATTGCAAATTTTTACGAATATTTATGTTTAGTTGATCCACCCGTGATTCGTCAAGCATTTTCTGAAGAAATTTTACATCCAAATAATCCTGTGTTCATCAAATGTATTGCTGGTGGAAATCCATCGCCCGATATTGCTTGGGAACTTGATGGAAAGAAGATTGCTAATTCCGAACGCTTCCAAGTCGGTCAATACGTAACTGTGAATGGAGATGTGGTGTCATACCTAAATATCACTTCAGCACAAACAAAAGATGGTGGTCTCTATAAATGTGTTGCATCTTCGAAAGTAGGAACTGCGTCACATTCTGCGAAGCTTAATATTCATGGACTTCCATATGTTCGACCTATGGAGAAAAAGTCTATTGTTTCTGGAGAGACTTTGATTGTTAATTGCCCCGTTGCTGGTTATCCGATAGAAACTGTAGTTTGGGAGAGAGAAAATCGTGTACTTCCCATCAATCGTAAGCAAAAAGTATTTCCAAACGGTACATTGATCATCGAGAATGTGGAAAGAAATTCTGATCAGGCGACATATACATGTGTGGCAAAAAATATCGAAGGTTATTCAGCAAGAGGATCACTCGAAGTTGAAATTATGGGTAAGTTTCGTAACTCTTGTTTATTACACTTTAAAATGTTATATAATATTCTGATAAACTGCGATAATTGAGGAAAAATTGAGGAAATTATTAAATTGTCTTCAATAATGAATAAGTTCTGCCACAAATTGTACCTTTTGACTTCGGTGCGGAGCAAATAAATCTTGATGAAATGGTCTCGGCAATGTGCACGGCCAGCAAAGGAGATTTGCCGATGGATATACAATGGATGTTTAAGGATACAGATGGGGTTGAGGAACTTCTGCAAAGAGACAACGGAATTTCACTAACGAGAAATAATCAGAGAATCAGTATGCTTAGCATTGAAGTTGCTAAAGCGAAACACCGTGGAACTTACACTTGCATTGTAAAAAATCGTGGAGGGGAATCACGTCACAGTGCAGTTCTTCATATAAATGGTGACTGAATCTGGCAATGTTGATTTACAGTCTTCTTGGATTTTGCAACTATTCCTCAATTTTAATTGTGAATCAAAGATATAATTTCTCTTTGTCCACAGTACTTCCACAAATTATTCCTTTTACATTTGGAGACAGCTCAATTAATGTTCAAGAATCGGTTTCTACATTATGTTCTGTAAATAAGGGCGACTTACCCATTAAAATTTGGTGGATGTTATCAGGCGATGGCCAAACCGAAGATCGAAATTTAAGTTCTAATAGCTTTGTAATGATAACAAGAAATAGTGCTAAGCTCAGTGTTCTTAATATAGAATCAGCACAATCTTTGCATAGAGGGAATTATACATGTTTCGCCGAAAATCATGCTGGAATTGCAAAATTCAGCGCATTCCTTTCAATAAATGGTTTGAATTCTATTTTACAATCTAACGACAGCACACCTTTTTTGCAATTTGAATCTCCTGAAATTAATTCATCTGAAAGAAAGAACCTATTTTCTAAATTTGAATGATTTAAAATTTTAAAAAAATATGAATAATTTAAATTTATGTTTAATTTCCATCCTTAATATGTTCATGAATATCTCTCTAGTGCTTCCACAAATTAGCCCTTTTTCTTTTGGTGAAAAAGAACTTAATCTTGATGAGACTGTTGCTGCAATTTGCATAGTAACAATAGGTGATTTACCTATTAACATTTGGTGGTCGTTTAACGACTATTATCAGAACAAGGAACTTAATTTAACAACAAATGATGGTATCATGATAACAAAGACAAACCAAAAAATTTCAATGTTGAATATTGATTCTGTCAAAGCCCGACATCGAGGAAATTATACTTGCCATGCAAAAAACCCGGCAGGGAGATCTCATCATACAGCATATTTAGCTATTAATGGTTAGACTGCCAAAATATTGAAATTTGAGTCTCCAGAATTTTGCATTTATTCAATAATATTTTTATTGGAAATAACAAACTGGTTTTCATTTATGTATATATTTCAATTAAACTTCGATTGTATAGTACTGCCTCAAATCAATCCGTTTTCATTTGGGGAGGAAGAACTTAATATCGACGAAACTGTTGCAGCCACTTGTATTGTTACCAAGGGAGATTTACCAATTGACATTTGGTGGTCATTTAACAATGAGTACAAGAGTGAAAAGAAAAATTTAACTACAAATGTTTCTAAAACTAGTCAAAAAATATCAGTTTTGAATATTGATTCTGTAAAGGCATATCACAGAGGAAATTATACATGCTTTGCTAGAAACAAAGCGGGAATAAGTCAACATAGTGCATATCTTGCTATAAATGGTTAACAGTTTAATATTTTATTTTTAGAATTTTGCAAGTTTCCAAAAATTAAAGTTATTGATATATTGTTGACATTATTTATAGTTCTGCCTCAAATCAATCCTTTTTCATTTGGGGAAGAAGAAATTAATCCTGATGAAACTGTGGCAGCTACATGTATCGTTACAAAAGGAGACTTACCAATTGATATCTGGTGGTCTTTTAACAATGGTCGTAATAATCAAACTGTAAATTTAACTACAAGTGACGGAATCATAATTTCAAAATCAAGTAGGAAAATTTCAATGCTCAATATTGATGCAGTGAAAGCTCGCCACAGGGGAAATTATACATGCCACGCCAAAAATAAGGCGGGAGAAATGTCCCACATGACATATTTAGCAATAAAGGGTTTGAATCATTTTTAATTTCAATTTATTTACAGTGGTTAGAATCAATTAATTTCGCCACTCTAGGGGTCTGAATTTTTAAACTAAAATTTTTCGGAATTTTGCAAATTTTTTCTTCAATTTGAGTCTATAAAAAATCGCTTTCCAATTAATAATTTCATTTGTTTGTCATAGTCTTACCACAAATAAATCCATTCACTTTTGGTGAAGAAGATGTAAATCTTGATGAAGCTGTAGCAGCTACTTGTATTGTTACTAAAGGAGATGTTCCCATTAAAATTTGGTGGTCTCTTTCTGATGACAATGAAATGATTCTCAGAAATATTTCAACAAACGATGGGATTGTAATTACAAAATCTGGAAACAAATTAAGTGTATTAAATATCGAATCAGTACAAAGAAGACATAGAGGAAATTACACTTGTTTCGCCTCAAATAAAGGAGGCATTGTTCAATACTCTGCTCAACTGAAAATCAACGGTGAAATATAGAAATTATTATAAGTTTCAACAAAGGCTTCAGTATCTGCAGTTTGTTTACCCTGAATTCATTTTTACACATGCATAATCTTAAGACCATTCTCTCATCGCCTAGGTAGTCTTTTTATCTTAAAAATAAAAATAAAATATAGCTTTTATTTTATATTCATTTTACCCCAAACAACTTAGTGTGTTGGAATTGAATGCTTCTATTTTATCTACCAAAGAAATATGTATAGGTTAATTTGATTAATTAACCATTTGATTCTTAAAATGTCCTTGTTTAATTTTTATAAGCTCCACCAGTTATTTCACCTTTTAACTTGGGCGATGAAAAATTAAACCTAGATGATTCGGTTACATTCACGTGTGCTATAACTAAAGGCGATTTACCTATAACAATATGGTGGCGTTTTAGTGAAATCAATAGCAACATTTCTCTCAACTTAACTTCAAATGATGAAGTTGTAATAACAAGAACTAGCCAAAAAGTTTCCCTTTTGTCAATTGAGGCTGTAAAAGCAAGACATAGAGGAACGTACACATGCCTTGCTCAGAATAAAGGAGGAGTAACGCAGTATAATACTTCGTTAGCAATTAACGGTTATTCTAAGAATTGAATATTTAAAATAATATACTGTAGCAATTTGTTTCCTCTAAATTTATTTAAAAATCCGGTTTTTTAAGTTCTTCCTGCAATAGTTCCATTTTCCTTTGGGGAAGAGGAATTAAACCTTGATGAATCGATATCTGCTATGTGTTCCATCACAAAAGGGGATTTGCCTATTAAGATATGGTGGCAGTTTGTCAGTGAATCTGTCGGTACTTATAATTTAACTACAAATGATGGGATTGTTATAACACGCACAAGTCAAAAAGTTAGTATGTTGGCGATTGAAGCAGTGAAAGCTAGACATAGAGGAAATTATACATGTTTTGCTTCAAATAAGGGAGGATCCTCTCATCATTCAGCGTATTTATTTATTAATGGTTGGATATAGTAACAATATAAGTTTTCATGTATTAGTATGATTATATCCATACTACTTATATTTTAAATATTAGTTAATAACTGTGCAAAAAGAATCTGTAATTTGTTTCTCATGAAAGCTTTTATTCAACTATAAATAGTTCTTCCGACAATTTTACCATTTTCTTTCGGAGAAGAAGAATTGAATCTCGATGAATCAGTTTCTGCAACATGTTCAGTTACAAAGGGCGATTTACCAATTAATATTTGGTGGAGATTTGATGGGGAAATTTCCGGTGGTTACAATTTAGAGTATTGAATCGAATCTGGTGAACGATCGTTTGTGGGTAATATCTAATTTGGACACCCAATTTACTAATTTTTAGGCCTTAAAATTATATTTTTCACCGAAAAAAAAAATACGTGTTGGAATTTT